GAAAACCGAAGGTTGATAGCTGCTTCCGTTCTCGAGATATTCAAAAAATACTCGCGTTCATCGTATTTTGCCGTCGATAGTAGGTATTGGTATCGCCCTTACTAGTAACAACCGAACTGCGTATGTTGTGGCAAACTATTATCCTCCAGGAAATGTGATCGGTTCATTCTCCTCTAATGTACTTCCAATTTGTTCCACAACGACTACAGCTCCAGGAACAACAACGAACATCTCAACGAGACCAAACACTGCAGCCACAACAACAGCTCGAAGGACCGCAGCCAGCTCGTCATCAACACCGGTTCCGAGGGCGTCAGCTGCTACTGCGACAACAGCTTTGCCATGGTCGGCAAGCACTTCACCATCAACAACTGTTTCAAGAATATCAACCGCTGCAGGAACAGCAACCGTCATGAGAACAACAAGTGGTTCCCCAAAAAAAACAATGACAAGAACGTCAGCACCTAGAGGAACAACAACCGTTCCTACCGCGACTAACACCTCACCCACAACAAGTGTTGCAAGAACATCAACTACTACAGCTGCAACACGTTCTGGTGGAGTAACAACCATGTCAGCAACGATAACTGCCGCGAGCACAAAAGGCGGTACAGCGACAACAAGTCGTGGCAGGAGCACAATCGCATCAGCAGTAACATCCATTTCAGGAACGACAACTTCGTCCAGCACAAGAACCGTTTTAAAGACAACAACCTTTTCGGCTACAGCAGTTTCTGGTAAATCAGAAAGTACCACAAAACAAATTAACGGAGTTAGGAAAAGAAATTGGCAATGAATCATTGAAAGTCAGCGAAGTACTGAGTGTCCAAAATGATTATTGTCGGTCGTATATGGGGTATTTATATTTAACAACTTTACGTGTGAATTGTGAATCTTGCTGAATCTTAACTTCTGTTCGAAATAGTCTACCTAGTGATCTCTGTCTCATATTTTGAAAGCAGCTGCTAAATAACAGGACCGGGTTTTGGAAGAAGATCGGACTGATGTAGAATAAAGCTTGAGGGTGTGGGCATGAGTTTGGGGTGTGGATGTGAGCGTGGATGAATGTGAGTGTAGGTACGTCCCCATGTGATACTCACCCACACCCATACCGTTCAGATACATCAAGGTTCTCCAATCAATCATCCATTGATTGTTGAATCTTATTAACAGATTGCTCAAATCTATACAGAACAAATAATTTATGAAAAATGTCTTGAGATTCTTGCATCGAATCATCCTAGTCTTGCCTTTACCGATGCGAAACTCACTGTACGTTAGAGGCGGTCGGGTCCGGGTCCAAAAATGTTGGACCCGACGGCTCTACTGTACGTTCACAATTCAAAGAGCTTGATTTAAAAGAGCAAGACATGACCGATCGATCTCATCAAATCTATGAAGTATCATTGCCATTCCACTCTTCAGCTCATTCGATTGTTTACAGTATGCATGGCTTGGTGAATCCTCCACAAATATGAAGTCTCGGGACTCAACCATCGTCCGTGAATACAATTTATTCCAAAACATCAACATGAAAGATCGAATTTGACTCTAGCTAGTGCTTCAAAGATATCCGATTGTTATATTTTTTCTAACACATTGTAGACAAAATAACTCGTTTCCTCTAGATTCGCCGTTATTTTCATGGATGAAATCACTCTGTTGATACTCTTACAAACAATTTTGATTAGAAGCAGCAAGGTGCACTCTAAAAATAATAGGTTTTTTACCAAACTCCCGAAAAAGGTTCGGTAGATTTGAAAAAGCATCCAACTGCCTCCAAAGGCTTGAAAAACGATTCTTCAGTTCTACGAAACCTTTAAAGGTTTCTCCCCCGGGTACACGGGAAG